GGGGGGGGGGAAGGAGGGAGGGGAGGAGGGGAAGAGGAAGCGCTCACCAGGTATAACGACGCCGGTCGATGCTGCGCGGTATTTCTAGCGAGGCAGGTCGATATGAGCCTCACCTGTGCAAACGTGGGCTGCCGCCTGGCTGCCTGGAGGTGGAAAAAAGGGGTGAAAGCGTGGCGAACACGCGAGACGCCTTCCTCCGATTTAGTGACGATTATTTCGAGCGGTTTACTGGTAAGTAAACGTGTTCTATGAAAGGTGTTGTCGTTGCTGGTAATCGAGAGGTAAGATTGGATTGGTTTGGTTAACTCTGATCCGATCCATTTTGGAATTTGATAATTCAACATGGTACTTTTTTTCGAAGCTAGTGTACGAACGGTTGTGAAATTAGTAAGTGAGAGTATTGCACGGTTTTTAAATTAAGGAAATATTCTTTTTTTGAGCTTGTTTAATCGTGATTGAGATTATTGTATGATGATGAATTATTTGTGTTTGTATTATGTTTCTTTTTTTCTATAATTAAGATTATTGAAACAGTATGATATAGAACATAGTATAATAACGATAAGGACAATATAGTATTTTCTTTAATCAGATGTTTATGTTGAAACGAGTTGTAAATTGGCTCCATTTAATTCTATGGAGCTATCTGTGTATTGTTTTCCGTTTTGATCTCGTTTTCTTCACATTGTGTATTGGAACAAATTAAACTGTAAATTGTCTCCATTTGAGGCTATAGCTGTCTATGTTATTTTCTATTTGATTGGGTTTGGTGATTCTATTTCAATTTCGTTTTTCCATTGTTCTGTCATCGTTGGAATTTTTTAATGGATATTGTTAAATGTTAACAAATATTTTTGATCGAATATAGAATATACTATATTGCTCATTATGTAATTACATAAGTTATTGAAAAAGAAAAATACACTTGTTATTCGTACATCTTAATGATAGAATTATGCAAATGAATTTTTAAATTTTTTAATTGTTTTTCCTATTTCTAAAGAATAATCTAAATTGATAATCTAAATTCTTTTTATAAATTTTATGAAATGCTTAATTTAAAAACAATCACTTCATCTCTCATATTTGAAACGTAAGAGAAGAATGAAAACAGAAATTTCACAAGTCCACTAAAATTATCTCTAAGAATATCGTTCTTATAAATAAAATATTTATATTTACACCAAATATTCTCGCACATATAAATCGTTTCTTCCTATTATAAATAATTTGTACCCTCGATCAATCTGTCTCGATCAATCTGAATAGATTCAATGAGTGATTTATCGTCAACAAATTTTTCTTTTTGTATCTCGATGAATGCACAGATATTCGATATCGATCCCCTTCTCCGTATTCTCACCAACCGGTGGACTCTCACGCTTCTCGCTCTAAGGCTGTTTAACAGAACATGAGGCACAAAATGCACGAGCCAGGAAACTGGTAAAGCTTCTCGCGAAAGTTGGTCACGAATCCTCTTCCCGTGGTCGAACCGTATCTGATTACCCGCAAATTAAAATACGAGTGTCGATGAATTGCTAAACGTACTTACACTGGAAAATTGGTTAATCGGGAAATTCTTTCATTGGAACGAAATCTTCCTTCCTTGATTAAATTAATTAATTACCCTCTCGAAGTTATTAACTATCCCTTTGTTATATTATTTTTGAAAAAGAAAATTTTTTGAAAATGAGATATTGCAATTTTCGAAACTTCTGTAGAATTGTATGTGAAATATGAAACGAAGAGAATGAGTTAATAAATTAAAATTTAAAAGAAAGGAGAATACAGAAGAAAGAGTTTGATTGGTGGATACCTTGGGAAAATTTTTTTTAATTCTGTGAATTCATGAACAATATTCTATCTGATATTTGTTTATTGTATGATTATTACTTTTATTTATGTGTTATTCAATCA